AGGAGGTGCGGAAGCTCCTGGACGCGGGCGCGGATCCCAACGGGACCAACTCCTTCGGGAGGACCCCGCTCCAGGTACGGAGCGCCAGAGCTGGGGGTGACGGGTGGGGGGAGCTGTCCCCTGCCCCGCTGGCGGGGGAGGGCGGAGGGATTTCGGGTTTTGAAGGAATTTTTATTGTTATTACGAGAACCCGACTCCAGCGCAGCTGCCTGAATACGAGCGGGCGCTTTTCTGAACCCTAGCCCTCCTGCAAATACTAGACGGAGTTTAGAGGGGCACCGTTGGCAGCAAACGAATTATGCTGGACGGTACTTAAAAGGAGAAGTGGGACTGCAAAATCCGCTTCCAGATGGGTTCAGGCAGTTGACTGCGCTCGGATCAACTGGTCTTGTTTGTTTGTTTGTTTGTTTTAAATATAGCCTTAATGGGTCTTTTTCCCCAAGGAAGTCGAAGTGGGGTCCCTTACTAGTATTTTCGTGTGAAAGAACGGCACAGAAGACGGCGTAGAAATTGTCGCTGAGTAGAAATTGTAACTTGAAACTAGGTATTTATTAGCAGTCATCACTATTAGTAGTAGTATTTTTAATATTCAGTATTCATCAGTCGTGGTAGTATTTTATAAGTACCAGTGTGTAGTGGAGTTGCTTTCCAGGCATTTTGAGAGCTAGGCGTGTGTTATATAAATCGACATATTTAAGCTGAAAGTTTTTAAATGTTCATTGAACGATTAATGTACTGTGATTTAAACTGGAGTTTTGTATTTAATGAAAAGGTTTTCTCGAGTTGTCATTTGAAGCAATACATCTAATGATTCACCAGCTAAACTGAACAGCCATTTTGGTCCTTGCACCTTATATAGAAAAGGAAATACTTTTCTAAAGTAAGTTACTTAGAAGGGCGCTGAGAAAATCGTTCGTTTTGTTTCTGTTGTAGGTTCAAATTCCAGATGAAAAGGGCCTCCAAATTGTTGTAAATTTTCTCTTTCCTCCCCTCATTTTAGAGTGAGACTAAGTTCTGTTTCCCTTGCCAGCACTTTGCAAAATGGCTGCCACTCTCACATGTGGAGTCTCTTTATCTGTCTGATAAATGTAACCTCTATAGGAATTTATAATGAAATCTATAAGCATTTTCGCGCTTATATTGTAAATAAAACCAAATATTTGTAGTCGCGTAACCAACTTCTCTCGAGAAAGAAAATAATGAGAAAACTTATTATCTCAAGGTATTTTCTCCAGTGTTAAGGTTCAATTTATGGAGGTTAAAATTCCATTGTAAATGACCAGGAGAATGCGGGAAGTATTACCCCAAGTGTCATTTTCTTTTGTTTGTTTGTTTGTTTGTTGTTTTTGTTTGGTTGGTTTTGTTTTGGTTTTGTTCAATCGTGCATGACCACACCTTGCCAGAAATTCCTGCTTTCCGTTCTGCATGCTGCAGAGTGGCATTAGGGTTCGGCAGGAAAGTTTTGTGCATTACCCGTGGGCACCCAACAGCTTTCCTTGCTCCTGTGAGAAGAAGCACAGGTTTAGCCGGAGCTGAGGGAGAGAGAAACGGCTCGATACGGAACTCAGGAGCGGGGAAATCCACACCGGGCACACTGTTTATGGTACAATAAATGGTACATATAAATGGCATATATAAATGGCATATATATTGTATGTGTATATATGTACACACATATACACGTGTATATACATATGTGTACATATATATGTGTGCGTGTGTATATACACACCCCACAAGTACCATATATACCGTGATATATATAAATGGTATAAAATGTGGAACAGAACACACACGTATGTAGTACCTAGTCTGGAAATCACACGCATCGTAGCTAATATTTCAATTTATCATAGAATCATAGAATACCTCAACTTGGAAAGGACCCGTAAGGATCATCGAGTACAGCCGTGTGCATTCATGCAGGTCACAGCTACAAATAGCTGACACAGGAAAATTATGCCCCAAAGACACCCCAGCCCCGCAGCCCC